GAGGCTCAATAACGTTATGCCCCTATAATTGGAGCATTGTTTGTGGTCTACGGGTACAATAACTCCCGTTCTCCAGTCCGTTGCTGTTTTTCCCACAGTCATCGCAGGTTGACAGACACGTGTTAGCCAGCACATGCCTTGTTCGCCTAGTGCCTTGAGCATCTGAAGTTCGTCAATTCCGGCAGCTTTTCCATTTTTCAAGCTTTTCACAGCTTGTGTAATTTCATCTACAGAGATAGCAATATCCGTACCCTTCTGCTCTGCGCTCATTCCGGCAGCTTTTCCATTTTTCAAGCTTTTCACAGCCTGTGCAATTTCATCTACAGAGATAGTAATATCCGTTCCATGCTGCTCTACAGTCGAGTCTTCCCGGTTGCCCTTGTTAATGAGTTACCTTAAGTACTCCCTCCATCGACGAAGAATGTCATCATCCTTGACAAGAGTATATCCAGACCTGTCCTTCAAGACCCGGAGACTGCCTTTCTTTCCATCTCGGATCCGACGGATGGCCTCCCGACACAGTTTGTGTACCCTGTGGAAATTAGACATAGCGCCTCGCGGATTTTCTCCCAGGAATCAGCTTTGGTATTCGCAACTGCTTTCGCTGCTGCCTTGCGTGCCTCGGCAAATCGCACGCGAGTAGAAGGCTCCTTGTTTCCAAATCATTTCTTTAAAACTGCTTTTATCTTTTTAGCTGGCAGCTGTACATCTTGTATCCACCAGGAACATTTTTCGGACATCCAGGAGGCAGGCCAACCCGTTTAAATCCGCAGCATTCGGCAGCAGCCGCGAGTGTGCCACTCTTAAAACGCTGCCGCTTGGTTTCCACATCACTGGTCATCACTGGAATCTGTTTAAACCGTCGTGCGGTGTTGTTTGCAAATTTCGCTCTCGTGTCCACGGAGGATAATGTTTCCCATTTGATGCTCTGGTTGCTTTAGTCACCAAATCTTCGTATGGTACTCCATTTCTTACAGCGCAGCGTGCCAGCAGGAACATGGCGATCGGCTGATGGCTATGCGTCTGTATTAACGCAAATATTCATTATTGGGCGTCTTAAGTCAAACGATATGATTATTAAATCGGTCATCAACTTTCATGCACAGGCTTCCTGGAACCAAGTACACTGATTCGCTCTGCAATGATCGAAAAAGATGCTCATAATGGACTATCCGTTGTTTGTAAAAAACCGCAACAACTTTACGTCGTTATCGTTGAGGTCGCTAAGACGGTATTTTCGAATCATGACGTTCCACTTTCCAGCGTCTACTCGGACATACGTATTGAAATAGCCCCTGAATATGAGGGACTCTGTATTTGGCACCTCGGACAGATTACACTGCGCTTCCTGAAGGAAAATGTCATATTCTCCTTCCAAATTGGGTGCATGGTCGGAGGATTACCACCCTTCTGCTGAAAGGCTTTCTATGAATGATTCTATCTACGACGTTGGGTTCTACCAGAACATCAATACCGGCGTGAACGCGCGTCATGATATGGACATCTAAGTCGAATATCTTCCATCCGCTGAGGTTCAAGTGTTCAATGCTTTGGCGCTTCGTAGATGAGAGTCCAATAATGTCGTGTTGGTACTTTATGGCCTCATGAACTAGCTCTTGTTCTTTCCCTCTGAGTGAGGATATGTTCCGATTTGCGACTTTACGCTCCCACAGTCGGTCTGGTTCTCGTGGATCCTTTCCTGACGCGCCATGATGGTATGGCTCTGTGTGCCTAATCCGTTCAAAACGGGTAGCGATTCCGTTGCTGACTGGTATCGTCGTCATTGTTCCTTCCGTCTTAGCCAGCAGTTGCTGTGGTGCTAAATTGTTTTATAATATGCATAGTTTTTTTTGTATCATTGTTGCTTTGCGTTGCAATCTTGAGCATTTGCGTCACAGATGAAGCACCTGGGAAGTTCATTTAAAGTCTGGATGGTTTCATTGAGATGTTAACGACGGAAAACTCTATCCCAGGCAAAATATTGTTCATCGACGGAGAATAAGAAAAATGCGTCCGATGACTCAGTGCAAAACTTGCCATTCATAACGTTGAAGTCAATGTATTAAATTGTATTCGGAAGAGTATTTGGTAGGCAAACTTTGCCTCGCAGTGCATTTCAGTGAAAGCAATAAATTTATCCTCGCTCATTAAACCTGTGACGCGCGATTATATTTTAATTCAGTTTATTTCATACGTGGGAACGATGCTGAGCAATGGTTTTCCTATGGTTCGTCATGTAGTAGAAACGGAATTGAACAATAGGAGATTGATACCAGATGTCCCGGCGGTTTTGTTGTACGCTTCAGGAAAGTTGCAGCTGATTGTCAAGTTTGTTTTATGTAACTGATTGTTCTGGTCCTATATCGGTAATTTATAATTCCACAGCTGATTTTAAGTTTAAGTTTGCGCTTAACGTTTGAACCCGTTCGTTTTTTATTTATAAAATTAAATAATACTGCTAAGGTACATAAAATTCATGGTGAAAATTGAAGAGTCAGAGGATGCTGCGGTTGTCCGCTATATAAGCAGATTTTTGATGCCGTCAGTAAGGAAGTGCGAAAGAGTATACTATGAAAGAAAAAAAGATTCTAGCATATATTAAAACATCAAACAACGTTAATGAAGTGAATTTTCGCAGTTTTTCATTGGTATAGCGTTGAAAAGTAATTTGATTTGGCCTTTAGTTGATGTTACCAGTAAAACTGGTCCATCTGCGTCACTGGGGCTTCGTGTACTCTGTTCTGGGGCTGCCGACGATCTACTGCGTTGCTTTCTCGAACACACAGGTCTGTCAGAAGGACGAGGTGAGTAAACATTTAAGAATTGGCTTCGAATTTGAATTATATCGTTTTCTCACTTATGCATTAGACGCATTCTATGCTACTGCTCGTCAGTGTGTTTACTTCGAAATCGAAAGTTGCTTAAAGCGATTTATTTATCCTGATTATTTAGTTGGGTATTATCGCGGTAAACGTTATCTTCTGCCATTACAGGGAAGTCTTGATGGTGTTATAGTTAAATATGGTAAGTGTTTCTCAAGAATCGGAACAATTAGGGCTAACCGCACTGTTATACTGTTGGCTGAACTAGCGCACAAAGATTGTGATTATGAATATGAATATGGTCGAAATTCGAAAGGAAGTAGGAAGAGTGGATAAATTAGCACTGGAAATTGTTGGTATTCTTGAGTGTTGCATGCTACGATCGTGGCGTTTCCATAATAATTTTCAAACGGTTTGTAACAACAGTAAACGAAAGTGTTTTTTAAACAAAGTTGTACAGAACTTGAACCTGAACGTTTAGACCAATGTTTCATTGTTCATCTTCAGCATGGCTGGTAGACTCCTTACGGCTGTTCTTTTTACTGGGCCTGATGGCACACGATGAAGTGTCGTAGAGGCCCTGCTCTACTGAAGATTAACGATTCAACAGATTAAACGATTAACGATTAAACTGTCGAAACGCTTAAGATTTTGTATAGATTTCTTTGATAAAATGGAACATTTGTTTGCATGGTTTTACAAACCGTTTCATGGCTAGTAGTTGTGGTAGAAATTTATTATTACCCACGTCCGAAACGACTGCTTCATTTTTGTTACGACGTTGGTATTGCTTTTATCTACTCTTAATTATGACTGAACTATGCTTCTGTTGTTTTTCATTACGAATACGAACGTATGAAGGATGATGTGGTTCTGTGAAAGCCAGCTACGGTTATAAAATTATTTATAATTATCACTTTTACATCTGTTTTGCTTGTACTTTCAAATTAATGTGTAGCCCATAATGCCCATTCGCTTTCAGTGCGGCAACATGGTGGAAACAGCGGAAGGAATCATGGAGAAAGTTTATGGACCTTACACCGGCGACGGATGGAGCCCTAAGCCTTTTGCCGAAAATAAGTCAAGATACTTATGGACCGATGCATACGGAGTGGCCAATTATCTTACGCTGTACTGTGAGACAAAAAACGATACTTTTTTGGCTCGAGCCCGAAAGCTGATCGAGACGGTGCACGATAGCTTGGGGAAAACGCGAGACAGCAGCAAGCGGTTGGGATCAGCGACGGATGACCGTCCCCTTCTCGGTGGTTTACGGTAATTGCTAATTAAAGTAGCAAAAATTTAAATGAGTTTTTTTTATTGTTTCAGCATTGGAAAGCCAAAAGACGAAGGCCCTGGCATGGATGAGGACGGTCAGTACTACCATTACTTGACAAAGTGGATGTTTGCTCTCAACAGAGCGAGTATCGTCATGAAGGAACCGAAATTTAACGCATGGGCCATTGATCTGGCTAAAACTGTGCACCCAAAGTTCGTCAGAGAAACGAATCACGGTCTGCGAATGTTCTGGAAGCTAAACATCAATTTGACTACTCCTCTGGTGCACAGCCAGGGCGGCCTTGATCCGTACGATGGTTACACCATGTACCGTATACTTGCTGTAAGCCTGTACTTCTAGCACTGACTGTCAAATAAGTCATTTTTTAATAAAGGATACAGCGAACGATAAAGACATTTTGAAAAATGAAATCGACCAGATGAAGCAAATGGTGAATCATAGTATATACAGCACCAGCGACTGCTTGGACGCTGGTGAAGCACTTTGGCTGGCTTCTTGGTATCCGGATGAATCCTGGTAAATATATTTGCAGATTATTATGTTTTTAAGCGTGTAATAGGCTGGTTGCGCGATTTACATGTTGGTTAGTCGTGCTCTGTTGCTTCAACTAGCTTTTATTTATTTTTAGTCAGAGAACAGGTATTTGAATTACAAAGAGACATGATTTGATATTTCGTCGGTTCCTGTAAAACTTGGTGGCACAGTAAATGATAGGGCAGCTTCGAACATGAACTCCTGAGATGCTGAATTCGATTCCCGCGATGAGCGTTCTTTGTCATTACTTCAGAGTTTTTTTCACATTCCGCTTTGATAATCTTGGGACCTTTTGCCTGTCTCCTTCCTTTGCCTACTTACTTGAGACCTTTTCTCTGGTATCAGCATTCTTCCATATCACGGTTTCTTTGGTGCATGGTGTTTTTCCTTAGGGTTATTGCCCGTTTCGCCGCTGTACACTGAACCACATAAACAGCAGAACTTCCACATCCCATCTTGCTTCTGCTTATCTGGTCTCTTGGTTTTCAGCTGGCTGAAGCAACTGAGAAGCGATGTACTTGATTTGAATACACTGTTCAGAATTAAATTACGCAACAGTCGTAATATTTCACTTTGTTTGCGAACGTATGATAAAGTGATGCAGATTTTACAGTCGGTGAGCAACGACAGAGGGCTTGTCCTGATAAGTATGTCGGACTTTCATTTGGCATCTTCAGTGGGTAGCCACTTTTGCAAGGTCAGCCTAACGTGTTCTAGTTCTTTGCAAAAATCACCTTCTGTTTTTCTATTGTATCTTAGGAGAGCGTTAAGAACACCACTCTCAGCGCTTTGAGGATGGTAAGAGGAGTAACGCAGATATCGATCCGTGCGTGTCTCCTTGCGATACACTGTTGTTTCGCTACCATAATCAGGAACGATAAACTGC